CCTTCGTTCTGCTCTGCCCGTTTTCCTGTACCTCCCTGCCAAAGCGAAAAACAAAGCACAGCCGAGGTCCAGCAAAACAGCGTCGAGGTCCAGCGCTGGCGGGGGAGTCCGAGGCTCGACTTGCGAGGTTTTCGAGCCCAGACTTGGGTCGGGCATTTCCCCCTAGAGGCAAATGTTGGAGAAAACATAGAAATGGTCAAAAACAAATAACAAACAAACAAAAAATTCGAACATGGTCCAGAGATGATAGGAAAAAAACGTCCCCATACGATGTTTTGACTACTTTTGAATCATCCTCCTGTAGAGGGACATGCCCGACTCAAACCCACACGTGATCACGTCGTACAAGAAAAATCAGGGCGGGAGGTGTTTGACAATCTTCGGCCTCGGGGGGGCCCTCGCCAGGCCTCGGGGCCGTCAAAAAATGGCGTGGGATGAAACACCCGTCCCGGGGGAAAGGGTCGGGACTTCAGGGGACGCCGTCCTGAAAGAATCAGGACGTCGCATGTCTGGGTATGCCTCGATGTAGTGGATCGCAGATCCCCCGCTGCGGTTCCAGGCCATTTGCGAGCAGTTCCTTTGCGAGTCGTGGGACGCGCTTGTCTACAAACGGCGGGCGCATAAACTTTCGGAGCTCCTCTCGGATTTCTTGGCTCTGCGCTGGGACCCTCTGGTGGCGCCTCCGGCGCCGCTCCTGGCGCGCGCTCCGCGCGCCATCCAAGAAACATCCGCGCGGACCTCCAAAAGTTTGCGCGCATGCAGTTTATCCTCCTCTACTCTCAGAAGCCCTCTGGCCTTCCCAGGAGCCGCCTCTCTCTCTCTCTCTCTGGAGATGGCTCAGAAAACTCCTCAGAAGGCCCGAGGCCTTCCGAGTCTTCTGAGAAGGAAGGGTGGAAAGAGGGGGAGAGGAGAAGGAGGAGGATGAGGAGGAGGAGGAGGAGGAGGGGGAGGAGGAGAAGGAGGAGGAGGAGGAGGGGATGACGGGGCGGGAGGAGAGAGGACCGAGGAGGAGGAGGAGGAGGAGGAGGAGGAGGAGGAGGAGGGGGAGCCGTCTGTCTCTCTCTCTCTCTCTCTGTGGAGATGGCGCAGACAACGGGAATGTTCTCGTCCGTCCTCAACGGTGCTCCAGCCTCGAGGTGTGTTCCAGCAGCTGCGCCTCGCCGAGAGCGTCCAGACGGCCGCCGGAGAGCCGAGTTATGGCCCACACCAGGCGTTCGAGGGGGGAGGCCGCCTTAGACAAGCGCGTCCCAGGACTCGCAAAGAAACTACTCGCAAATGGCCTGGATCCGCTGGGATCTACGATCCACTACATCGAGGCATGCGACGTCCTGATTTTTTCAGGACGGCGTCCCTGGAAGTCCCGACCCTTTCCCCAGGACCGGCTTTTCATCTGGAGTCGTTTTTGGCCAGCCCCGGGGCCCGGCGAGGGCCCCCCGAGGCCGAAAACTGACAAAACCTCCCGCCCTGATTTGTTTCTACGACGCGGTCATGTCTGGGTGCCTGTGTGCTTTCTCAGACAGACGTTGGCGAGCAGGCACTCAGCGAGCATTGGAGCGCGCTCGGTGAGATTTCTCTTCCCCGAGAGAGTCGGCGGAGAGCACAGGGAGGAAGTGAGCAGGGGCGAGCCCTCTCACCAGGCTCGGAAGTCCCCGGGCCTTCTGGGAAGCCCTCGTAGCCTTCCCCATCCTCCTCCTCCTCCTCCTCCTCCTCCTCATCCTCCTCCTCCTCCCTCCCTCCCTCCCTCCCTCCCTCCCTCCCTCCCGAAGATCAAGGAAAGTCTTCTAAGTCTGCGAAGCCTTCCCCGATGACGAAGGAAAGCCTTTTCCCTAGTCTTCTGAGCCTTCTAGGAAGTCTTCTGAGTTTCTGTAAGTATCTTCTAGGAAGCCTCTCAGAAGGCCCGAGGCCTTGTGAGAAGCCCCGCCGCCTTCTGAGAAGGCCTTCCCCTTCTCGCTTCCCCCCCTCGCTCGCCGCCGAGAGGGGCCCCCGCAGCATTCTGGGATAGAGGCCTCCCTGATGGGGTCGGAATAGATGGGGTCGGAGGACCGCACCGCATCGCCGATACGTCGACGATGCAGCGGCGATGCACCAGCGATGCATCGTCGACGTGGGCGATGCACAAGCGACGTCGGCGTGGAGCAAGTCGGGCTCCACATCGAGCCGCGTCGGCGATGCCTCGGCGAGGCGGCCCGATCCCCCGACCCCATCTGCCACGACCCCATCTGGGAGGCCTAGATTTACATTTCTCCCTCCTCCTTCCCTCCCTTTCCCCCCGCTCCTTTTAGGAGGAGGAAGCGGAGGAGGAGGAGGAGGTGGAGGAGGAGGAGGAAGGGGAGGAGGAGGACGAGGAGGAGGAGGAGGAGGAGGAGGAGGAGGAGGGGAAGGAGGAGAGGAGGAGGAAGGAAGGAGGAGGCCCAGATCTCGCCGCCCCGGGAGGCCCCCGCGGCCCTCTGGTGAAGGCCTGCCCCCCTCATCGCCGCCCCCCCGGTCGCGCCGGCCGAGAGGACGAGGAGCGATTCCGGGGCGCCCAGGGCGCCTGCGAGGCGGGCGGGGTGGCGGCGGCTCGTACCTTTTGAGGGGGGGAGCCTCCTCCTCCTCCTCCTCCTCCTCCTCCTCCTCCTCCTCCTCCTGCTGCTGACCCTGGATCCGCGCGAGAAAAGCTGGTACGCTTTGCGACGCGTCCTCGGGGGGGGCCCTGGATCCGCCCGAGAAAATGAGGGGCAACGATGGGGGAGGATAGGCATAGGGGGGGATGCATCGACCTGGAATCGGCGATGCATCGCCGATAGATCGGCGATGGGCCCCCGACATCGAATCCGCACCTTCCTGGGCGGGGTTGGGCTATCAAACCCCTATCGGCGATCAATGGGCGATCGTGGGTCGATGGATCCCCCCCTATGCCTATCCCCCCCTATCGTTGCCCCTGAGAAAAGCCTGTACACTTTATGACGCGTCCTCGGGGGACCTGGTCTGCCCCGTCGCGGCCCTATCCGCGTCGAGCCCGTGTCGAGTCCCCGTCGGCCTCGTCGGGTCCGTGCCGAATCCGTGTCGAATCCGCGTCGGGCACGAGAAAAGACACCAATGTTGGGGGACAAGCGAGGTCCCACGCTCATACGACCTCTATACCCCGAAATAGGGAAACGAGCTCTATAGACCGACGTGTCCTTGTTTCCTTCCGGCCCTGCACTGAAACTTGCACAGGAAAGCGGATCCTGGTGTATCGGAGGCTGGGGGATGAGATCGCAGGGGAACGGAGACCCCCAACCGGGAATTCGTTTCGTTTCGTTCGTGTCGTGCGTGCGGGCGAGTCGAAGCTGCGTGGGCGCGCGAGAGGAATGAACCCGCCGCTGCTAGGGCGAAGTCAAGACAAATGATCCTCCCCCTCCCGCCCGTTCGGCGGTGGCCCGCGGTGTCCCGCGGTGTGCTGTGGTGTCCCGTGGTGACCGCCGTTGCCAGGGCGAAATCAAGACAAATGATTCTCCCCCGCCCGCCCGTCCGGCGGTGGCTCGCGGTGTCCCGCGGTATCCCGTGGTGTCCCGTGGTGTCCCGTGGTGTCCCGTGGTGTCCCGTCGAGTGAGATCGATAGCGAGATCGATAGTGAGATCGATAGTGAGATCGATAGTGAGATCGATACTGAGATCGATGTGGTGCCCCGAGGTGTCCCGTGGTGTCCCTTGGTGTCCCAAAAAGTGAAATCGATAGTGAGATCGATAGTGAGATCGACAGGTGTCCCGTGGTGTCCAATGGTGTCCCGTGGTGTCCCGTTGAGTGAGATCGATAGCGAGATCGATAGTGAGATCGATAGTGAGATCGATAGTGAGATCGATACTCAGATCGATGTGGTGCCCCGAAGTGTCCCGTGGTAGCCCGTGGTGTCCTAAAAAGAGAGATCGATAGTGAGATCGATCATGAGATCGACAGGTGTCCCGTGGTGTCCCGTGGTGTCCCGTTGAGTGAGATCGATAATGAGATCGATACTGAGATCGATAGGGAGATCGATGTGGTGTCCCGAGGTGTCCCATGGTGATCCGTGGTGTCCCTGGTGTCCTATGGTGTCCCATTGAATGAGATCAATAGTGAGATCGATAGTGAGACCGATAGTGAGATCGAGAGGTGTACCGCGGTGTCCCGTGGTGTCCCGTGGTGTCCCGTGGTGTCCCGTGGTGTCCCGTGGTGCCCCGTTGAGTGAGTGAGATAGTGAGATCGATAGTGAGAACGACAAGTGTCCCGTGGTGTCCAGTGGTGTCCCGTGGTGTCCCGTTGAGTGAGATCGATAGTGAGATCGATTGAGTCAGATGTTGGTTCCCCCCCCTCCCCACAACCTCCGTATCACCCGAAGGGTGGTCGTATAGGTATGGGACCCTGGTGTACACATGTTCCGCTGTTCCCCCGGGAGAACGGATCAACAAAGTATATGCCACACCACCCCGACGTCGCCCCGGACACCCCCAAGTCCTGGGATCGAAGAACAGCCCGCCACAGGCAATGGATTGGTTCCAGCGTCCGACAATGCAGCCCGACGGGTAGCTGCCATTGGCGCAGGAGTCGGCCCATCCACTGCAGGGAGACTCGCTCGAAGGCCTTGCTTTGGTCACAGAAGATGACAGCCGTGCTGGGGGCGGGCCCGACTTCCTTAGGGGAACAAAAGTGACATAAACATAAAAACTCTGAGGTCCGCGCGGATTTCTCGGATCGGCGCTGGACCCCCCTCCCTGGCGCGCGGAGCGCGCCAGGGACGGCGCTGGAGGCGCCGCCGGGGGCCCCAGCGCCGACCCGAGAAATGCGCGCGGACCTCCGAGTTGTTATGTTTACGCCACTTTTTGTTCCCCTATTCCCGTAAGGCAGTCTGTATGTAAGCGTCGACTGTGCGTTGGAACGGGCCGAGGAGGGCGCTCCAGGCATCGCCTGGCCCTGGGTCTTGATCACTACAGGGCAGTTTTTGATACATTGGATTTGTCAAAATATAGGATTTGTTAATACATGACTAATGCATGAATAAATTTATGCATGAACTCATCGCTGTCTGTGATGCTGAATCCTTGCATTTTAATACACGATCCGCACGCGGAGCATGTATTAAAAACGGCACTGTATCCACATGATCTGAAAAAAGTGCTGTTCAGATTCTGGGCCGCCCCCAGATTCTGGGGGGTCCTCCCTCCTCCTCCTCCTCCTCCTCCTCCTCCTCCTCCTCCTCCTCCTCCTCCTCCTCCTCCTCATCATCTGGACCTCTGGATGGTGGCAGTTCTTGTGCATAGCACTACGTCGGGCTCACGGCGGCAACGCGCCGGACTCACCCCGGAGCCCCGCCCCGCGCGCGCGCCGGCCCAGTCTCGCCTGCGGGAGCGGCCGCGTGTCTGCGCGCGCCGCGCCGCGCCCCGCCCTCGGCCTCGCTCGGACGTGCGAGTCGTTGGCGACGAGGTCTCATTATTCTCGACATCCGCCTCGATATCCTCCTCCTCCTCCTCCTCCTGCCTCCTCCTCTCCTCCTCCCTCCTCCTCCCCTCCTCCTCCTCCTCCTCCTCCTCCTCCTCCTCCTCCTCCTCCGCCTCCTCCTCCTCCTCCTCCTCATCCAGGGGGGGATGTCCTGATCCTCCTCCTCCTCCTCCTCCTCCTCCTCCTCGCCTCCTCCTCTCCTCCTCCTCCTCCTCCTCCTCCTCCTCCTCCTCCTCCTCCTCCTCCTCCTCCTCCTCCTCTCCCCCTCCCTCCTCCGTCTCCCCCTCCTCCTCCTCCTACCTCCTCCTCCTCCTCCCCCCTACTCCTCCTCCTCCTCCTCCTCCTCCCCTCCTCCTCCTCCTCTTCCTCTCCTCCTCCTCCTCCTCCTCCTCCTCCGCCCCTAGCTCCTTCCCTCCTCCTCCCCTCCTCCTCCTCCTCCTCCTCCTCCTCCACCTTTCCCCCCCCCCCCTCCTCCCCCCCCCCTTCCCCCCGCCCCGCCCTTGGCCTCGCTCGGCCTCGTGCGCCCACTGTGAAGGGGCCCCAGGACACACAAATAGATACACGCACAACTAGAAATAAGATTCCCCATACGTTCCCCTATGTTTGGGGTTTCTGCCTTCCCCCCCGCCTCCCATGTTTTCCCACATTCTCTGGGGAATCGACGATTGATTGTGTCTGTGTGTTTTTCCCCTCCTTAAAGATGGCTCCTCCGTGGCCCTCGCCAAAAAATGCACACGTCCGATGGAGGCCTCCCAGATGGGGTCCGAGCAGCTGGGGTCGAAGGGTCGCGCCGAATCGGCGATGCATCGGCGTTGCATCGGCGATGCGTCGCGCCGCATCGGCGATGCATCGGCAATGCATCGACGATGCACCGGCGACGCATCGTCGATGTCGGCGATGCATTGGCGACGTCGACGAGAATCAAATCGGGCTCCACATCGAGCCGCACTGGCGACGCATTGGCGATGCGGGGCGATCCTCCAACCCCGTCTACTCCGACCTCATCTACGTCAGGTTCGTGTCGTGCCGACTTCGGCGTTGGTTTCTGACACCGCGGGGATCGTCCGACCTTGAACGATCGGCCGTTCCCGAAACGTCCGAATCGTTCCACATCGAACGATCCTGGGTCGCCCGCGGCGCTCAAAGAGGAACGCCGCCGGCGGGGTCGCCGCCGGTCGACACGACACGAACCTACCGCAGGAGGCATATTGGATGCTCGTTCTGGGGACCTTCCCGGAGCCACCTCGCTCCACTCGTGCGCCGAAGCTGCGTCGAACGTCGGTCGAGTTGGGTCGACCCTGAGTCCAACCCGAGTCGAACCCGAGGCGAACCTGAGTCGAACTTGAGTCGAACTTGAACTTACCAGCCTCGAACGTATCCCTATCCCTAAGATGGACACGCCAAAAGGCGATGACAATCTTAGGGATTCGCCCTCAAAAAATAAGGGAATCCCTAAGATTGGCATCGTGATGAGGAGATGCCCAGCATAGGGTTAGGGATATGTTCCAGGCTGCTAATGAGTCGAACCTGAGTCGAACTGGGGTCGAATAGATCCGTTCGGTGGGCTCCAGGGAGGTCCCCGAAGCGGGCATCGAGGGCCCAGCTTCGAAGGATGCAGGATTTTCCTCGTGGCATCCTGGAGGCTCCCGCTCGTCAGGTCGGAGTAGAAGACGCAGCAGCTGCCGCCGAAGGCCGGCCCCGAGGCGGCCAGCGCGTCCTGCGGCCGCGCGGCCGCCCTCGCCAGGCGCCTCGCCGGGGGGGGGGGGCTCCGACGCCTGCGATCGCCCGCGCTGGTTCTCAGAGAGAGGAGGGCGGAGCGCCCGAAGGGGGGGGGGAGGAGGAGGGGGAGGATAACCCAGACATGCTGCTGCTCCGCTGGCCTCGCGCAAATGGCTCGCGCTTTGGCCGAGACGGCTTCCTGCATTGTTCTACCCTTCGAACTCTACAGCTCCGCTGCTTCGGGGATGAAGGGAGGAGGCAGGAGCGAGGAGGAGGATTCCCAGGTTTTCGGACGTGTTCGTCGGCCCTCGGCGGAGCTCCAGCCTCGGGACGCCTTCCAGCGGCCGCGCCTCGTCGAGAGCGCTCTGGGGATGCCAGCCAGCATCGATCCAACGGCCGCTGGAGGCCCAACTTATAACCCGAAAACCACCGCGCGGCCAGCGCGGCCGCCTTCGCCTGACGCCTCCGAGGGGGAACCTTACCCTGAGATCCGGGCGTTGCAAGAAAATCGCGACGGCCACTTCCTCAACGTGCTCGGCCTCTGGAGGCCTTCTCCCAGCCCCAGGGGCCGTCAAGAGACGACTCGGGATGAAAAGCCGGCCCTGGGGAAGTGGTCTAGACCTGCGGGGGCTGGCGCCCCAAAAAAGAAAACGCAACGTCGGAGGAGATGGTTCAGGGGGGGATCGTCTCAGGGGGGGAACATCGAGCTGGAATCGGCGTCGGCGACAGGCCCCCGGTTTCATATCCGCATGCTCCTGGGCGGGGGGGGGAGGGAGGCTATCTGGAGCCATATCAGCCATCAGTGAGCGATTCAAGCTACTGGTCGATGCCCCCCGCCCGAGCTCACCATGCATAACGTTGCCCCTCGATTTTCGGGCAACAACTCGGGCCGCTGGAGGCCATTCGGGACGGTCAGGGCACCTCCAGAGCGCTCTCGGCGAGGCGCAGCCGCTGGAGAACATCCCGAGGGTGGAAGGCTGCTGGGGAGCCCACGAGAGCGCGCGAAAACATCGAGAATCTCGAGGCCAGGACATCTAGCGGGTCCCCCCTGAGCCCAGCACCCCCCCCTGCAGGACCCGCCGCTTATGCGATTACAACCAGCGGTTGTTTTTAGTTGGTCATTTCCACGTATGATGTGTTGCACACGTGCATCACATGCAGAGCTAGATGTGCTGAAGCACTGAGCCATGCCAAGGCAGATGTGCAAAACGATTCCAGTTGTGCTTCCGCGGCGCCGCCACTAAGATCCTCCACAATAACAACAAAGTTGCAAAGGCCCATACCCAAATTCAATGTGCAAAGCACAACCCACGAAATAATCGTCTAGCACAGTTACACCTTTGTTTTGACAGGAGGATATTTCCAGAGGCAGCGCCGTGGGGCCGCGTGCGCTTACCAGGAGAGCATGGAGAAAAGCATAAACAGCATTAACGAGCCAACGCTTTCGCAGGGGGAACTATGAACCAGCTGGGAACACCTGTGCATCTCGCCGTCTGTGTGGCGCAGATCCCCCACGATGGAAATCCTGCGCAGAGTAGCCCCTGCGAAAGAAGCCCTCTCTGTGGCGACCCTCCGAACCAAAAACATCGTATTTCAAGTGCGGAGCCTCTGCAGTGGCCGCCACCCGACCTACCGTACATACGAATCACAAAGCCACAGGCTCCCCAAGCCGTCTCAAATTACAGGGAAGTGTTTAATACATGGGATGCTTAAAAATATTGGATTTTACATACATGACTAATGTATACAGTAAATGTATGCATGAACTCCTCGTTGTTTTTTAATACTAAACCCTGCATGTTTAATACATGATCCGCACGCGGAGCATGTATTAAAAACGGCACTGTATCCACATGATCTGAAAAAAAGTGCTTTTCAGATTCTGGGCCGCCCCCAGACTCTGGGGGGTCCTCCCTCCTCCTCCTCCTCCTCCTCCTCTTCCTCCTCCTCTGGGCCTCTGGATAGTGGCAGTTCTTGTGCATAGCACTGATGCCATCGTCCTCTTCCTCCTCCTCCTCTTCGCATTGCGAAGACAAGCTTTGACATGTGTGTCATGTGTGCTTTTCGATCACCGTGGGGCCGCGGACGCTCACCAGGGAAAGATGGGAACAAAAAAACATTAAAACAACGGTCGTATAAGGATACGCTGGGAGCACGCGTGGCCCTCGCTATCGTTACGGTGCTGATCGCCCACGCCTGGAGTCTTCTCTGTATCGGCCCTCGTAAAAGGGTTTTCTTTCGTGGGGACCTTCCAAAAGGATTCCAATTGCGGGGCATATGCAGTAGCCGCCACATTCAAAATCCTTGTGCAACAGCCACGAAATGATGATTAGAACCTGGGCCGGCATGGGAACGGAAAGAGCGGGTCCGTGGAACGGATATGTCACACGGTCTCGGGGGTTCGGCGGCCGTTTACGCGGCAGCGATTTGGACACAGGGGTTACCATGCATGCTTGTTGGAGCAAACTGGAGTGCGAGTCAGGGTAGGACGGCCGCCATGGTGATCGAAGTTGTTACGTCACCGTCCGCCTCGAGGAGCCTTGGCGGTCAGAGTGTTTGACGGCACGGTTCGCTGGGGTGGGGCCTCGTAAGAGGCTCTTGGAGGCATCTCGGAGTGCCTCTTAGAGGCCTATTGGGGGTCTTTTGGGCCCTTGGGGGCCCTCTGGGGCCCTTTTGGACCGTCTTGGGGGGCTTGGGCCGGCTTGGGGTGCTCTCGGGGCCCTCTTGTGAGCCTCCTGTGGCTCCCTTGGGGCTTTCCTGGGAGGCTCTTGGGCCTCTGTGGGGCCCTCCCTGGCCCTCTTGGACCGTCTTGGGGGGCTTCAGCCGGCTTGGGGCGCTCTCGGGGCCCTCTTGTGAGCCTCCTGTGGCTCCCTGGGGGCTCTCCTGGGAGGCTCTTGGGCCTCTGTGGGGCCCTCCTTGGCTCGTCTTGGAGCTCTCCTGGGCCGTCTTGAGGCGCTCGAGGACCGTCTGGGAGTCTCTGGGGACGTTTTGGGGCGACCTCGGAGGCCCCCAGGGCCGTGTTTGGCCGCTTTTGACTCGAAAATGCCAGGACCCCCCAATCCTCAAACAAACTTTAGGGAAATAATTGGTTTTTGCCTCCGGCGTCCCTCTTGAAGTCCTCGTGGGAACCTCTTGGGCCTTCTCGCCGCCCCTTTTGGAGCGCTCTTGGGCTGTCTTTGGGCCTCTTGGGCGTCCCTTGGGCCGTCTTGGAGGTATCTTGAGCCGTCTTGGGGGGCTCTTGGGGGTCTCTTGGACCGTACTGGGCCGAAAAAGCAGCCAACGTGGCCCCCGGAAGGCGTGTTTGAAAATTTTCCTCCGCCACGCTCCCCCCAAACCCCCCGCATTGGGGCTAAAGCCCTATACAGAACTTCTCTCGCTAACGCTCTTTCCGTCAAATTCTCCTCCGCCACGCCCCCCCCCCACATTGGAGCTAAAGCCCTGTACAGAACTTCTCTCGCTAGCGCTCTTTCCGTCAAACTCTCCTCCGCCGCGCCCCCCCCCCCCCAGACCCCCCCCTTTGGGGCTGAAGCTCTATACAGAACTTCTCTCGCCAGTGCTCTTTCCGACAAAGTATCCTCCGCTACGCCTCCCCCCCAAACCCTCCCCCATTGGGGCTGAAGCCCTATACAGAACTTCTCTCGCTGGCGCACTTTCTCCGTCATGCGGCGTGTGTGTTGCCTGGGTCGTCCTTTATTTTATTGTATCGGGGCACACCCCTCCTCGCACGCGCCCCTCAAAAACGCTCGTTCTGGAATTGCGCTCTGGCGGTCTAGTCGGCCTCCACACGGCAAAGATGGCCTCCAAGGCGGCTTCCAAGACAACCACGACGACACCAAAACGGCTCAAGATGACCCAAGAAAGCTCAAGAGCCTCTCCAGACAGCCCCAAGACAGCCCAGGAGGCCAAGAGAGCTCCAAGAGGCGCCCAAGACTGCCCAAGAAGCTCCAAGGGGCATTCCTGGAGAACTCGAGTTGGGGGGGGGGGGGGGGGCAAACCATTGATGCTCCTGAGGTGCTTGAAAGATGTTTAGGTTCTCACCTGGTCGGGTTCCCGACCGCCCAAAGCATCCAAGAGGCTTCCAATATAGCTCCAAGACAGCCCAAGGACCCCAAGAGGGCCCGAAGTCGGCCCAAGAGGGCCCAAAGATCGCCCAAGGGGCTCCCAAGAGGGCCCCAAGGCGGCCTTGAAGCGCTCCAAGAGGGCAATAAGACGGCCCAGACAGGCCTCTTGGGCTGTCCTAGGCGGTCGGAAGCCCGAACATAAGTACCAGAACCTCAAAATCCTTCAAAGCCGAAGGACCATCCGTGGTTTCGGCCTCCTCGGGCTCTCCTGGAGGGCCTCTTGAAGACATCTTGAGCCGCCCTGGGGGCCCCTTGATCTGCCTCGAGGCCTTCTTGAGAGCAGCATGGCTTCCAGGACGGCTGCCAAGGCAGCCAAGGTGACACCAAGGTGGCCCAAGGCGGCTGAAGAGGCTCCCATGACAGCCCCAAGCCAGATCAAGAAGTCCCCAAGACGGCCCAAGAGGGCTTCAAGAGGCCCCCCTGCAGAGCCCGAGTGTGCCAAAAAGTTTGTTTCTCATGGGAGTTGTGAAAGATGTTGAGGTTCTCGCCTGTTCGAAATTCCGACCGCCCAAGACGGCCCAAGAAGCCCCCAGGAGGCTTCCAAGATAGCTTCCAAGAGGGCCGCAGGCCAACCCACAAAGTTCCAATGATCGCCCAAAGGGCTCCCAAGAAGGCCCCAAGACGGCCGTGAACCGCCCCAAGATAGCACCAACACGGCTGAGAGAGGCCCTCAAGGCGGTCCCCGTAGGCGTCAGGCGGGCCAAGAGCCCCATATGACGGCCCAAGAGGCCCCAGAGAGCCCCCAAGAGGCCTCATGAGGCCCCAGAGAGGACCTTAAGAAGCTTTCGGTAAGCTCCCAGGAGGCCCCCCGGAGGCTCCAAAAAGTCCCCAAGGATTTCCCTCGTCCTCGTGTGTTCCCTCTCCTCCTCGTCCTTCTCATCCTCCTCCTCGTCCTCCCTACCGCACGGATGAAGACGAGATCGGGATCACGACCCAGCCCAATGCAGACTACTCGTCGGAGTTGCGCTGTTCCTACAATCTGCCTCCTTCCCGCTGCGCTGTTGCACAGGCACGGTGGCGGGGCTTGCCTCAGGCAGCTGGGCAAAAATAGCGAGAGTCACAGGTGTTCATAGCTTGTTCCTATCTTCAATGTGTAAATACCTGTGTGCTGTGTTGTGTTTCCTATTGTTCCTGCTTCCCGGTAAGCTTCCACGGCCCCACAGGGGGCGAGGAGAATCCAGGAGACAATGAAAACGATGCCGAGGAGAACCAGGAAGAGCACGAGGCACAGGATGAAGGAGGAATACGACGAGGTTGTTAAACGATGAAAGGAATGCAGAAAGGCGATCAAATAACAATGATAACGATGTGCGTACAATCGTGAAGAGTCGAACGATGAGTACTGATGATGAACGAACAGAGCAAGACAAGAACGATGAATAAACTGATGAACCCTGACGTGCCAACCACACGAGAGTCTCTCACCCAACCACCGCTGTATTCAGACAGACAGCGGGTCCTCCTCCCTCCTCCTCCTCCTCCTCCTCCTCCTCCTCCTCCTCCTCCTCCTCCTCCTCCTCCTCCTCCTCCTCCTCCTCCTCCTCCTCCTCCTCCTCCTCCTCTCCTCCTCCTCCTCCTCCTCCTCCTCCTCCTCCTCCTCCTCCTCCTCCCTCCTCCTCCTCCTCCTCCTCCCGCACCCGTGAGACACCTCCCCCCTCGGGACGAGCGTCGCACCTCCAGCGCGCGCCCTCGGCGGGGCGCGGCCGCGGGAGGGCATCCCCGAGGCCAGCAGGCCGCCGAGAGCCCACGAGAGCGCCCGAAGACCTCAAGTGTGAAGGGGCCCTGGGACACAAATAAACACACACACACAAATAACAGGATTTCCCATAGTTCCCCATATGTTCGGTGCTTGTGTCTTCCCCCGTACTCCCCATATTTTCCCATATTTTCTGGGGAATCGACAATGAATTGTGTCTGTGTGTGTTTTTTCCTCCTGAGAGCGTCTCGAGGCCCGAGCCTAACCTCCAGCTCGTCCCCCCTTGAACCCATAGGGGAACAGAAAGTGACATAAACATCAAAAACTCGGAGGTCCGCGCGGACTTCTCGGATCGGCGCGGACCTCCGAGCTTTTCTGTTCATGTCACTTTCTGTTCCCCTAACCCAGGCCCTTTCCCCACAGCGCCCCCCCCCTTTCCCTACGGGGCGGGGATTTGACCACATATCCACCGCCTGGGAGCCGACGCCCTGGTGCCCCAGCGGGCGGCGGATATGGATGTATGATGGCCCCCAGGGGCCCGGATATGCTCATATCCATCGCCTGCCGATGCCACCGCAAATTGTTCCTGCAGGCGGTGGTCATGTAGAAATTCCCGCCTCGGATTCACGGTGCCCCCGTGAGCCTCTCTCTCTCCGCGGCCACCAGCCGACGCCTCTGCTCGAGGTCGGCCTCCTCGCGCTCCCTGCTCAGCAGGACCTGCGCCCGGTGGCTGTTGCTCTCCCGCACGGCCTTAACCCGTCGCAGCTGCTCCTCGTGAGAGTTGAGCATCGCCTGACGGGGGGGAACGGAAGGGTAGGATAGCAAAAGGTATGGTAGTAGAGGCATCCTAGGTGGGGTCCGAGTAGATGGGGTCGGAGGATCTCGCCGCATCGTCGACACATCGGCGATGCATCGCCGATGCATCGCCGACGCACTGGCAGCCTCGGCGATGCATCGGCGACGTCGGCGTGGAGAAAACTGGGCCTCCGCATCGAGCCGCATCGCCGATGCATCGGCGATGCGGCACGATCCTCCGACCCCATCTGGGAAGCCAGGAGGCAGAGAATCTGCTCCCGTAGCTGGTCTTCCAGGCGCCTCCTGGTCCCGGGAGGCGCCCATGTAGATCAAGGAGTGGGCCCCGCGGCGGGGCGGAAAGCCGCTGCACGTCGCCGATTTCGTCACCCCCCCGTTCCCTCTCCTGCCCTTTCGTCCGGCCCCCGAGCCTGGGGGGGGCGCCGACCCTCCCACGCCCGCAGGCCATGTTCTATCGTTCGCGAGCACCGCCCGTGGCTGGCCCCGCACCCCCCCCCCGCCCCTACCCCTGGTCGCACCGCGATTGGCGCCGGGGAACCATCTGGGAAGTGGCCGTGTTCTCAAGCATTCCCCGACGGCGCTGGCGCGACTTCTAGCGTGACTGGCTTCCCCCACCCACCCTCTCGGGCCGTTTTGGAGCGTCGGAAGCTCGAAAAGGCGAGAATGTCAAAAACATAAATGATTTACTCGACGCGGAGATCCCCCATATGTGCATGTTGTTCCTGGCACTTTCCGCTGCGAGCGACTGGGTACGAAAGTCTGGCTATGAATGGGCTGAGTATGAGAGTCTGAGTGCGGGTGAGCCTGAGTGCGAGCGAGTCTGAGTGAGTGTGAGTGAGTCTTAGTGTGAGTGAGTCTATGCGTATGAGTCTGAATATGACTAAGCTTTGTGCAGGCGTATCTGAGCCCGAGTGGTCTGAGTATGAGTGCGAGTGACCCTGAGTATGAATAACCTGAGCGGGAGCAGGCGAGAGGACAGAGGAGAGAACTCGGTAAAGAGACAGTTATTTCCCTGTCCTGCGTCTTGCTTCGTCCTAAGACGTCATTCCTCATCGTCCTTCTTTTCTTCCTCCTCCTCCTCCTCCTCCTCCTCCTCCTCCTCCTCCTCCTTGGCGGCCATCCTCCCCCTCCCACCCCTGCGTCCTCCTCATCCTCCTCCTCTTCCTCCTCCTCCCCTTCCGTCTCCGTCCCCCCTCCTCCCTCCTCATCCCTGGCAGGTGTTCCCCTCTTTGGCGGCTCCTCCTTGGGGTGCCCACATTCATGATACGATGGCTTGATCGCGGCGACCACGGGGCTCTCAAGAGAGAGAGAGAGAGAGAGGCCTGGGCCACCAAACAAGCAGACCGCCTGAGACATCCCCACACTGGCCCCGAACGGGGAAGTGACATGTACCCTGACGGCCCCCCCCCTGGCGGCGCGCACAGGGGGTGGGGGGGAGGGGGGAAGGCTTCTTTCAGGAGGGAAAAAAACACACCGACACAATCAATCGTCGACTCCCAGGAAAACATGGGAAAATATGGGAAGTGGGGGGGAAGACAAAAACACCGAAAATATGGGAAAATATGGGGAGTGCTGGAACCAGCGCCTCGATCGAGACATCCTCACCCTCTGCTCCGAAAGCAGGGCACGCCGGGCACCCAAACGCGCAGTCCGCTGGAGACAGCCCCACGCCTAGCGTCTGCACTGCTTCCCGAGGACTGTCGATGGCGGATGCATCGAGCGTTTGAGGGAGTTTGGCATTTGCTTCGTTTCGTCCTTCCGACGAAAGATCGCCCAAGAGGCCCCAAAAATCACCCCAGGATCGCCCGAGTGCTACTCACGTGATGGGAGGGCGTGCGGGAGCGAGCGGGACAACCAGCCCTGGGGGGGGGGGGCCGTGACCACTGCTCCAAATAAATACACACTCCCTCCCCCAAGCCGACCAGCGGCAACACCTGGGACAATGGGGCACCCGCCCCGCTCTCCCGCAAAATGCACCTGGCAGCAAAATCCGCGAGCACTGCTCCTGTTCCCGACCCTGCACTGTTGGGCTCTTGTTTGGAACGGAGCACTGTGGTCCCGTGTTCCCTTTCCTTCTCCTCCCCCACATCTTCTCAGCTGCCTCACAATCTGCTCTCCCCTGCCCTCTACCTCTCTCGTGGGAGGTCGCGCGGAATGGAGTTACACGGGGACCCAGTTGAGACCTCGCGGCTCCATAGGGGGGGCTGCGAAGCGTGCAACTGTCGCCTCGTTCGTGGGCTCCTGGGGGGCCGTGCAGAGTGGAGATGCGCAGGGGCTCAGTTGAGACCTCGCGGCTCCTTGTGGGGCTGCGAAGCGCACTGTCGCAACTCTCGTGGGCTCATGGGAGGTCGCGCGGAGTGGAGTTACACGGAGATCCATTTGAGACCTCGCGGCTCTCTGGGGGGCTGCGAAGCGTGCAAATGTCGCAACTCCCGTGGGCTCCTGGGAGGTCGCGCAGAGTGGAGTTACACGGGGATCCAGTTGAGACCTCGCGGCTTCCTGGGGGGCTGCGCAGCGTGCAACTGTCGCAATTCTCGTGGGCTCCTGGGAGGTCGCGCGGAGTGGAGTTACACGGGGATCCAGTTGAAACCTCGCGGCTCCATGGGGGCTGCGAAGCGTGCAACTGTAGTAACTCTCGTGGGCTCCTGGGAGGTCCAGCGGAGTGGAGTTACACGGGGATCCAGTTGAGACCTCGCTGCTCCCTGGGGGGCTGCGAAGCGTGCAACTGTCGCAACTCTCGTCAGCTCCTGGGAGGTCCAGCGTAGTGGAGTTACACGGGGATCCAGTTGAGACCTCGCGGCTTCCTGGGGGGCTGCGAAGCGTGCAACTGTCGCCACTTTCGTGGGCTCCTGGGAGGTCGCGCGGAGTGGAGTTACACGGGGACCCAGTGAAGACCTCGCGGCTCCCTGGGGGGCTGCGCAGCGTGAAACTGTCGCCACGTTCGCGGACTCCTGAAAGTTCGCGCGGAGTGCAGTTACACTGGGACCCTGTTGAGACATCGCGGTCCCCTGGGGGCTGAGCAGCGTGCAACTGTCGCAGTTCTCGTGGGCTCATGGGAGGTCGCGCAGAGTGGAATTGCGAAGTGTGCAACTGTCGCAACTCTCGTGGGCTCCTGGGAGGTCCAGCGGAGTGGAGTTACACGGGGATCCAGACGAGACCTCGCGGCTCCCTGGGGGGCTGCGAAGCGTGCAACTGTCGCAACTCTCGTGGGCTCCTGGGAGGTCGCGCGGAGTGGAGTTATACGGGGACCCTGTTGAGACCTCGCCGCTCTCTGGGGGACTGCGCAGCGTGCAACTGTCGCCACGTTCGTTGGCTCCTGGGGAATCCAGCGGAGTGGAGTTACACGGGGATCCAGTTGAGACCTCGCGGCTCCATGGGGGGCTGCGAAGTGGCACGGGGAACCAGTTGAGACCTCGCGGCTCCCTGGGGGGCTGCGAAATATGAAACTGTCCCCCATGCCATACCACCCCGTGCGCTTGCCTCGCTCAGCGCGACGCGCTGTGTTGCTTCAGAGCGCACGGCGCTTTTCTGTCCCGCCTATGCAGCACTCGGCGCTGTTTTTTCTCACTGCACAGTATGTCCCCCCATTCACCCTCCTCCACACGATTCCGTCCCCGCCCCTTATCTTGCCATTTCTTGCGTGTTGGTGTCCGTCTCCCCCTATCGTTTGGGAACTCATGCGCACTGCGAAACCTTCAACATGTATGTTTGTAATGAACGGCCCTAAATATGTGACCGTTTTGATTCGGCGTTTCGACATTGGGCGGAAGGGGGGGAGGGGAGGGGGTTCTGGCTCCGGACTTCTGCTTAGTGCGACTGTTTGCAGCAGTGCGTCCCATGGGCGAGACTCCACCTGCCTGAAACAGGCGCCAAAAACAGCCAAGATCTACTCCATGGGAGGGGGGGCAGGGGGGGGTGCAAGGGCCCGCGCCGATCGGCAAAACAATGAATAAAAAAAACGATCACTATATTCGGCATATGTTTTAAACGGGTTGGGCCACCACATCGCCCGCTGTGCGCAGGGCAGCCATTCCGAACTGCACTCCGCGGAAAAATCTAGATCCTGCGGGGCCACCGCGTGATCACGTTGCATTGGTTTTTGACAGGGGCGGCGGGGGGTGGGGCTGGCATGTCGCCTGCTGCGTGCAGGCCGACCCGACACAATGACGGCCACCCCGCCGCGATTGTAAAGTGCACTGTGCACCAAGCTCGGGATCATGCGCGGACGCCCCGCGATCACTTCGCACTGGTTTGCCGGGGGGCGGCGGATGGGGTGGCACACTCCCTGCTGTGCCGACCGACGATCCATGTCAAAAACGAATGCACATGATTGCGGGCACACACCCACACACACAATACGCCATGCTCGCAAACCTGCCCTCATTGTGCACTATCTGTTCACGGGGACTGTGGGGCGGTCGACATCTTGCCGAATGTGGCGCACCTGGTGCGCGTGGCGCACCTGGCACGTGCGGCGCACCTCGCGGACGTCGCGCACCTGGCTGGCATCTGCTTTGATTCCCGATGGTTGTCGATGGCGGCCCCTGCCTGTGCTGAGACTCGGGTGTCACTATGTAGTGGGAGGGCGGGTGGGAGTGAGCGGCACGGCTTGAGGCTTGGGGTAGCCTGATCAGTGTTCCTGAGCCACAACCTCCCCCAGGAGATCGACAGCCGATCAGGAACAATGACCCCACCACCACCACCCCTGCAAAACATTGGGTCATGCTCGTGGGTTCCGCGACATGTTTCCCGATGTGTGCTGTCACGTGCGCGCGCGCACCTGACACACTCTGTGCGTGCCCCGAACGTGGTGCACCTGGCGCGGCTGGACCATAGGCACAAATACCGCACGTGGGGCACATGGCGCATCTGGCGAGCCAGGCGTGCCCGGCACGCTTGGGTTCCAGGGGTGCCCGGCGCACATGGCGCGCGTGGCGAGCCTGGCACGCGTGGCGGACCTCGCCCCAGCATCGTGCACATGGGGCCTGCTACATTTTGGCTTCCAGTAGATGTCCATCCATAGACGACCGCTGAACATGCTGGAGCTCGGGTGCGAGTTATATGCTGGGAGGGCGGGTGGGATTGAGCGAGACAGCTTGCGGGTGGGGAGGGTGTCTTGATCACTGTTTCCTATGAATAAACACCCCCTCCCCCAGGCGACCGGAGGCCAACCAGGGACCATGACGACACCTCCCCCACCATCCCTTGTAAAAACAATACAAAACTCTGCTTCCAAATTCGAAACATGCGCAGCCAACCCGATGCGGCCCCCCCCCCCCACCATCCCTGTCAAAAAACAATACAGAGTACACTTGGCGGCGGCGGCGGCTGCGGCGGCTGCGGCGGCGGCGGCGGCGGCGGCGGCGGCGCTGGGCGGCGGCGGCGGCGGCGGCGGCGGCGGCGGCGGCGGGCGGCGGCGGCGGCGGCGGCGGCGGTGGCGGGCGGGCGGCGGCGGTTTGGCCGCGGGCGGCGGCCGGCGGCGGCGGCGGCGGCGCGGGCGGCGGCGGCGGCGGCGGCGGAGGGCGGCGGCGGCGGCGGCGGCGGATTGGCCCCCAGTAGCTGCCCATCCAAAGACGACTGCTGAATATGCTGAGGCTCGGGCCAGACTCGGGTGCTACGTATGTGTTGGGAGGGCGGGTGGGAGTGAGCGAGACGGCTTGCGGGCGGGGAGGGTGTCTTGACCCCTCCCCCTACCCCCTCCTCCTGTGTCTAGACGGGGGGGGTCGCAGGTAGTTAGAGCGCCCAAGACAGCCCAAGATGACTCCGAGAGGGCCCCAGGTAGCCCAAGAAGCCACGACGGCCCCAAGAGCGCCCAAGAGCGCCCTGGGAGCGCCCCAAGAGAGCCCCAGGAGGCGAGCTTAGGGGCTCGAGTGGGGGGCGTTGGGGGCCCTCCCTTTTTCGATCGATGTCCTCTAAGTTGGCCCCGAGAGAGCCCCCAAGGCTCCCGTCTGGGCATCAAAAAAAAGGCCCCCAGCGGCCCAGGCCTCGACCGCAGACTCAGGAGGCCCAACATGGAGGAACACCCACGCGCCATAGGACTTCCTCCTCCTCCTCCTCCTCCTCCTCCTCCTCCTCCTCCTCCTCCTCCTCCTCCTCCTCCTCCCTCCTCCTCTCCTCCTCCTCCTCCTCCTCCTCCTCCTCCTCCTCCTCCTCCCTCCTCTCCTCCTTCCTCTCCTCCTCCTCCTCCTCCTCCTCCTCCTCCTCCTCCTCCTCCTCCTCCTCCTATTCAGCTGTTTGGCACAAAGACCAGACCGATGCTCTCCACAAAGTCTCATTGCACCGGCCTTGCAGACGTGCTGCAGCGGACGTCTGCGTGGATTCCTGCGTGGAGTTTTGCCCGAAGCGGCGAGCGAAAAACGAAGTGAACTTCGCGTGGATTCTTTTTGGGCTTCAGTCCTGGCCAAAAAAAAACCGCACGAAATTCACCTCGAAATCCGGAACAATATTATCCAGGACACCCCGGGTCCACCCTATCGTTTTCCGAACGAAATCCGCTCTGCGATGCTGGCGCCATGAAGTGTCTGGAGGGGCCCTGATCCAGAGGACAAAGCACTCTCGCTTGACCTCGTTGAATTTTTCTCAGATCTCCGAGGCCAACGACGGAGGAGACAACAAAAAAAACGCAGGATTGACAGAATCTCCCGACGCGGACTCCCTCAGGCGGCCAACGCGCGCGCAGGGGCTCCAGGCCTGTGAAGTGGGATGCACAGAGACATCCTAGCACGATATGTCCTCCTTCGAGGCGCGCGTCCGACCAGAATCCAGTGTACCCATCTTGTAGTTATCGTTTCCCGAGCGGCGTGGCCAGGAAGCGCCCGCCACGACGCATACACTATAAGAGTTCCTGGTGCGCGCATCGCCCCTGGGGGGTGATGCACACACAATATTAATTCATTGGTTTAGGTCGGGCCTGTCCCCCTACAGGGGGATGTTGGGCGAAAATTATTCCGGCAAAGCAACCTAACAGCGATGTGTAGAAGCATATCTAAAAGCATTCCCCTTAAGATTCAGATGAAAATCCAGTTGTAGAATTCTGCTGTTCTCGCAGTCGTAGTCGCATTCGCAATGACAGTCGCAGCGGCAACGGCAGTCGCAGTCACAGCCTCAGCCTCAGCCTGCCTCAGCCTCAGCCTCAGCCTGCCTCAGCCTCAGCCTGCCTCAGCCTCAGCCTCAGCCTGCTTCAGCCTCAGCCTCAGTCTGCCTTCAGCCTCGGCCTCAGCCTCAGCCTGCCTCAGCCTCAGCCTGCATCAGCCTCAGCCTCAGCCTCAGCCTGCCTCAGCATCAGCCTGCCTCAGCCTCAGCCTCAGCCTCAGCCTCAGCCTCAGCCTCAGCCTCAGCCTCTGCTTCAGCCTCAGCCTCAGTCTGCCTTCAGCCTCGGCCTCAGCCTCAGCCTGCCTCAGCCTCAGCCTGCCTCGGCCGCAGCATCAGCCTGCCTCAGCATTCAAAATGTTGCCCAGGAACGGAGTTCTGGGAACTAGAAGAACACGAAGTGGCCTACAGTTGGCTCCGGGAACTGGGAAGAAGAACACGAAGTGGCCTACAGTTGGCTCCGGGCATTCAAAATGTGGCCCGGGAATGGAGTTCTGGGAACTCGAAGAGCACGAAGTGGCCTACAGTTGGCTCCGGGCATCCAAAATGTGGCCCGGGAATGGAGTTCTGGGAAATCGAAGAGCACGAAGTGGCCTACAGTTGGCTCCGGGCATCCAAAATGTGGCCCGGGAATGGAGTTCTGGGAGGTCGAAGAGCACGAAGTGCGTGACTGTTTGCGAAAAACGAGTGCGGCGGCAGCCGCGGCGGCAGCCTGTCCGGGTCCCGCCCAGACCCCCCTGAGGAGTCATGATGCTCTCTTTTGAGACCACTAGAAACCTATCAGCAAGAGCTGTTAGGTAAAAATGTTTTTTTACAAAACAAAAAAAACAACTATTTTTTACTATTTTGGAATACTCCTCTTGTAGAGGGACAGGCCCGATTTAATATTCATATGTGGGGACGACGCTGATTCCAGGCGGCCGATCTCGCCCGTCCCGCCGTGGCTTTCCAACCTCTGGTCTCCGAGGGCCGCTTTCGAGGCCGGGGGCTATAGACCACTGTTCTGGTGTGCCCTGTGCTTTCCCCGACGAAGCGTCGTCGTCGTCGTCATCGTCGTCGCCCGCGCTATCGACCGCGCGCTGAGCTTGCACCGCTCGAACTCCACGGCGCCCTGCGCGGCGTCGAGGGCCCGGTCTTTTTCCTCGCGGAGGTCGGTGGCCCGGCTGACCTCGGGAGGCCCCCTCGTCACGGCCACGGCGGCGGCAGCGACGGCGGCAACAGCGGCTACGGCGAGTTTCGTCGTCGTCGTCGTCGCCGCCGCCGTAATCGTAGCCGTTCAATCCCTCGCGCGGCACCCGCCCCGCCTGCCTCATGCGTGGCGATGGAGGAGGAGGGAGGGAGGGAGGGAGGGAGGGAGAGCGAGAGAGAGGGGGGGATGATGATGATGATACTGATGCTGATGCTGATGCTGATGCTGATGCTGATGATGATGGTGATGATGATGATGATGACGACGATGATGATGAAATTATGACATGAAATTATATGACTTGATGTGATATGACATGGCTATGCGATGATATGAAGTGATAGACTATAAACTGTTATGGCATGGTGTGAGCTCAAAATCAAATGGAATACCTGATATAAAATGAAAGTATATACTATGATGTGTTGTTATGCGTTTGGAATGATATGACATGGCGTGACAGGGTACGATTGTGGACGGCATGTTGTGATGTTGTCGCGATATGGTATATTATGTTGTGATATAAGGCTGTGAGGGTAAACGATAAGTTCCATATGTCATGATATGGTATAGCGTGATACGACATGCTATGATATGGCATTAACAGCTGATATGCGATGTGAAGTGACGAAATATGGCATGACGTGTCTTGTCACTAGAAATATGATATGGTATATGATACGATGATACGGGATGCGATGATGCGGTCTGGTAATGAATGGCATGATACGGTATGATGCGATAACGGGTGGTACATAGGATTGTATGCATGATGGTATATGCTACGGTCGGCGTGACATAAACAATGGTGATATGTGATATGATACTGTATGCAAGGGGATAATATAGTATGATATGATGTGACGTGGTCTGATGTGCTATGGTATGATGATATGGCATGGTATGACATGACGTGATGTGATATGAGATGGCATGCGATATTGGGGTAACGTCCGCCTCGATTCCGCGGGCCAGCACGCCTCATCACATCAGCGCATCACTTAACACTCAAGCCCCGTGCGATTGATATGGAATGGCCCCACTCGATGGCAGCTGCTGCCGTCGGAGCGGACCTGCGGCGGCCGCCTTAGACCACGAACCCCGAAGTGGTGCCGCGTCGGCGCGGGGGGTCTCCCGCTTCATGCCGAGGGTCGGGCAAGGCCCGCCTCACTCAGGGCGCAGGCATCTCCGAACGCGGTTCTCTCACCTGCTTTGCTATCCCTAACGTACGCCGCGCATGGATACTACCGCGTTCCGGGATTCTCCGAAGCTGCTCTGGCTGCGCTGTGCTCTGAGCCGCCGTGCGCCCTACTGCTTCTGCCGAGGAAGCCCGCGCAGCGGCTGCTCCACGGCCGTGCTCAGCTCGTCCTCGGGTGCTGGTCCGTCGCGTGCCACGCCCCCCGCCCCCTCGAGCGTCTTACTCGCTGCCCTCCTCGGGAAGCCGAGACTTGGAATCCCGCCGTCGCCATGCATATTCGTTTCGTTTCGCGTGGCGGACAGAGCTTCACGAAGCTACCCCTGATGCACATGCTTGTGGTGCTTGCTACCCAAAGACAGCGTGCAACATGAACAAAGAAGACAACTGGCAACAATGATACGCGCGCGACAAGCGGAGGAAGGTAAAAACACGCGACGTGCTACCCAAAGACACGTGCATATTCAAACATTGGACCAGCACCGCCACGTCTGCCAACGGGTTGATGCTGAAGCCCACTTTCGCGTTGATGCCCTCCGCTTCTGTGCCATCCTCGCTGTAAGTTTCCTCCACGCGGACGCTGCCGAAGATCTCCTTCACGACCTGCAGGCCGCGCTCTGCCTGGAACAGCCGTTCGCACGCCCTGAGCACCTCCTTGTGCTGCCCATTACTGATGTCCTCGAGCTGTCCGTCAAACGCCCCCGCGGCAGTCGGTGTCCTTTGCCGCGCTGTCCCACCGCCGCGTAGTAGCCCATGCGAGACCCAATGCCCATATTGGCCGTCCTGAAGGTCTTTGGCACCAGGCAGAAGGAGGGAGGAAGAGGAGATGGACAAGAGTAAACCAAAGATGCACACTAGATGCTACAATACACTCTCCCGCCCCAAGTCCCCTCTCCATACGCCCCTACAAGACCCCCTCTTCACGACAAGAAGAGCGCCCCCCTTTGAAAGCTCAGCACGAGTGGGCCTGACCGGTTCGCGAATGCCCCGCTTTGAAAAAGGACCTTGCATCGTACAGGCGCGCAATGAAGAACGCGAAAGACAACGATCCTACAATGCAACGAGGTGTCCAGCGAGATCCCCTTTCTGGCCATCGCTCGGACGTCCATTTCCTGTGTTTTTTTCGGTTTCGTGCGTGGTTTTTTCGCCAAATGGTCAAGGATGCTCCTCGATGGCCCTCGCCGAGGAAAAAACGCACACGTCCGAGCGATGCCAGGCTTTCAAAACGGGACCGCCCCCTTGCCCGTGCAACGGCTGCACAAGTCTGCACGCGCGGTCATGAACTTCGCGGAAGTCTCAAACTGCAGCTCAATTTTGAAAATGGGCCACCGTCGTGAACCCGCCAAGGAAGTCTCGGGCGAGAACGCACTGTTGAAAAAGAGTATTACCCCATCCTGCTAAACGCTGCGTTTAAACACACATGTGCTCGGCGCTGAGGCGAGAGACAGAGTTTGAAAACTACCAGTGCTCAACCTTTGAAACTGCTGCAATATTTGGAAACGAACGGTCGCGGCGCAAATCTGAGACCCCACTCTGAAAAAATGTCATCCGTCCGCGAAGCGACTGCGAGCTTGGAAAACGGACGCGCGCTGTTCGTATGCGATAACATAATCTTGAAAACCGTCCCTGGAAATGCTTCGAACTTGTAAAACTGATGTTCGCGGCGTTGAGGCCGGAGCCACAGTTTGAAAAGAAAGCATCCTCCATCCACGAAGCCGTTGCAAATGCTTTGAAGTGAGCGAACGCAGCACAAGCCTCGAACGTATCCCTATCCCTAAGATGGGCGAGCAAAAAGCGAGGACAATCTTAGGGACAGGCCCTCAGAAACTGAGGGAATCCTTAAGATCGGCATCGAGGTGAGGTGATGTCAAACATAGGAATAGGGATATGTTTCAAACTGGTAAACGCAGCACTCAAACGATAAGCACCCTTCACAAAAAGAACCGCCGCCCATCCGCGAAACGATGCCAAGCAGCTACGGCGAAGATGCGCGGCGCCACGGCGAGGGCCACACGCTGAAAATAAGCCACGTCCATCCCTGAGACGGCTGCAAAGTTTTGAGGCGAATGCACGCGGCGCTGAAACGAGGGCCACAGCTTGAAACAGAACCGAGAGCCGACTTCAAGCAGCGCAGCCGTTGCAAACAGTTCGAACGAACGCACGCGGCGCCTAAGCGAGAGCCTCCTTTTTGTAAAGATAGCCACCCTCCGTCCGCGAAGCTGTCACACAACGCTACGCCGAAGCGAGAGCCACATCATCAATTGGCGGCGCGCAAAAGGGGGTAGGGGGAGGGGGGAAGGCTTCTTGGAAGCACCCTGCTTCTTAGAAGACCTCCCCCTTACGTCTATAGAGAAGGCCTACGCCTTCTAAGAAGCAGGGGTGCTTCTAAGAAGCCTTCCCCCCTCCCCCTACCCCCCTCTGCGCGTTGCCGAATCAAAACGACCCCCACCCCCTCCGTCCGCGAAACTGCTGCAACATGTTGGGACCAATGTGCGCGTCGCTCAGGCGAGGGGGAGGAGGGCGGAGGGAGGGAAAAAAGAGGAGGAGAGGAGAGGAGAGGGTGTGAAGGGGAGCAGGGGAGCAGAACGAGGAGGATAACGGGGAGGAGTGGACTGGCAGGTGCAATTCACCTGTCCTGCCCAGTATCCTGCTCCCTCCACCTCCCTCCGCTTCCTTCTGGTACATCCTCCCTACCCTCAGAATCACAATCATGACCACAAGCCTCACCAGCACCACGAGCATCAGAATCATCATCATCATCAGCATCATCAGCATCAGCATCATCATCAGCATCATCAGCATCAGCATCATCATCCTCATCCTCATCCTCATCCTCATCCTCATCATCATCATCATCATCATCATCATCATCATCAACATCATCATCATCACCACAAACCAATTTCGCCTTTGTATAGATAAGCTTCCGCACGCACCATGAAACCCCTTTTTGTTCAATTAATAGATGAATGCATAAATGAATCCCACAAGTTTCGCACTCAATTGCGAGGCTTCGCGTTCAAAAGGATATTTCCGACTCAAGTTCGGACCTTCTACTCTAGACCCTCAGTCTACAACATAGCACCCAGTACTAACCAGCCTTCGTCTCCAACACAACACCCACTACACCACTGGCTCCCTCCCCAAGCTGAACTTGACAATCACCTTCTACTCATTCCCTCCGTCTACATCAACACCCAGTACTCAACAGTTCCCGTCTCCAACGCAACACCCAATACTCAACAGGTTCCCACCCCGAGCTGAGAGTGAAAATAGCCGTCTATTCAACTTCCCCCGTCTTCAACACAACAACCAATACCAGCGTCCGTCTCTAGCACCACCTACTCCACTGGATCCCTCCCCAAGCTGAACTCGGAAATAATATTCTACGCATACCCGTCCGTCTACAACACAACACCCAGTACTCAACAGCCTCCGCCTCCAACACAACACCGCCTACTCCTCAGGCTCCCTCCACAAGCTGAGCTTGAAAGAAACCAGATACTCAACGCCCTACATCTACAACACAACACCCAGTACTCAACAGCCCCCGTCTCCAACACAGCACCCAATACTCAACCGGCTCACTGCCGAATCTGCGCTTGAAAGCAATCTTCTACTCAAATCCCACCGTCTACAACACAAAACCAAATACTAATCGCCCTCCGTCTCCAACACAACACCCACTACTCAACATCCCCCTCCCCAAGCCGAACTTGAAAGAAAAACTGTCTGCTACACCGCCTCCGTCTACGACAGAACACCCAGTACTCGACAGCCTCCGTCTCCGACACAACACCCACTACTCCACAGGCTCCCTCCCCAAGCTGAGGTTGGAAATGACATGCTACTCCACTCCCTCCGTCTACAACACAACACCCAGTACTCAACGGCCTCCGTCTCCGACACAACACCCACTACTCCACAGGCTCCCTCCCCAAGCTGAGGTTGGAAATGACATGCTACTCCACTCCCTCCGTCTACAAAATAACACCCAGTACTCGACAGCCTCCGTCTCCAACGCAACACCCACTACTCCACAGGCTCCCTCCCCAAGCTGAAATTAGAAAATACACTCTACTCCACTCCCTCCGTCTACAACATAACGCCCAGTACTCAACAGCCTCCGTCTCCGCCACACGAACCGACCCGCTCCGAAGCCTCCGCCTCCACGGCCGGCGCGCGCCCCGGAACCTCCCCTTTCGTGTTGCCATCTTCCAAGAGGAAAACGAGGCACATGATGCGTGCGGAGACCTATATATATGTATACGTGTATATATATGTGAGAGAAAGTATCAAACAGAATCGACCGACCACACAATACTTTTCTGCGTCATCATCGACAGCACCATCATCGTCGTCGTCGACGTCGTCGTCGTCGCCATCATCATCATCATCATCATCATCATCATCATCATCATCATCATCATCAGCAGCAGCAGCATCATCGTGGTCATCATCATGGCTGTCATCAAGATCATCAAGATCATCATCATCATCATCATCACCACCACCACCATCATCATCATCATCATCTAAAACATCATCAGCATAGTCATCATCATAATCATCATCGTCATCATCATCACCAACATGATCATAATAAGTAGCATTGTGGTCGCCATCGTCCTCATCATCAACATCAACGACAGCATCATCACATCATCCGCATCAACATCCTCATCATAATCATCCTAACCAGCATGCTCATCATCATCATCATCATCATCATCATCATCATCATCATCATCATCATCATCATCATCATCACCCATCATCATCATCATCATCATCATCATCATCATCATCATCATCATCATCATCATCATCATCATAATCATCACCACCACCATTACAATCACCATCACCATCAGCATCACCATACCCATCATCACCGTCATAGTCGTCATCGTCATCGTCATTATCATCGTCACCCTCGTCATCATCGTCGCAACCGTCATGCTATCATGATAGGCCATCACGGACGACGACGACGACAGGGCTGAACCTAAACGGTGTTTCTCGTATTTGTCTTGTTTTCGTTCTCCCTCGTTTTGTCTTCAGTCCGCCTTTAACGCAGAACGACATCGAAGCGAAAACGGCCCACGAAATGGCCAAAAACACCGCTTAGGTCCACCCCTGGACTAGGCTAGGCGTAAGAGTGACCCTGGGTAAGAGTGACCTCTGGTGCGCAGCTTCTGGGGGCGCGAGGGAGCCAAACCCAAGGGCGCAGGGCCGCTTAAATCGCATCGCGCCCGGCGATCGGGGGGAGCCCGATGAGCCCGCACCAAAGGTCACTCCGGCGAAAGGTGATTCTTACGTGTAGTCGATGGACTACGACGACGACGACGTTTTTGTTTTGTTTTCGTTTTCCCTCGTTTTGCCTTCAGTCCGCCTTCAACGCAGAACGACATCGAAGTGACAACGGCCCACGAAATGGCCAAAAACAGCGTTTAGGTTCACCCCTGGACGACGACGACGACGACGACGACGACGACGACGACGACGACGACGACGACGACGACGGCGACGACGACGGCCTTCTCGAACATGCCCTGCGTCTGCGCGAGCGACCGGCACGCGGCCGCCGTGCTCCGGCGCGCGGCCCGCTCGGACCTGCGCCTGGCGCTTCCGGGGAGGGAGGAGGAGGACAAAGGCTTCCAAGGACAAGGAGGAGGAGGAGGAGGAGGAGGAGGAGGAGGGGGAGGAGGAGGAGGGGGAGGAGGAGGAGGGGGAGGAGGAGGAGGAGGAGGAGGAGGAGGAGGACTAGAACGAGGGTTAGGACGAGGAGGAGAATGAGGACAACGAGGCCCGAAGGCTTACGACAAGGAGGAGGAGGATTAGGACGAGGAGGACCAGGAGGAGGAGGACGACGAGGATGAGGAGGCTGAAGAGAACGAGCTTCGTTTCCCGAAGCTTCCGGACGCAAAACAGGACGAGGAGTAAGACTAGAATGAAAATCATGGGAGCTTTTCCGCAAGTCACACGTGCCAAAAATTCTCAAAAGTGCACCACGAGTGCCCGCAAGCTCTCGCAAACGCTCACAAAGTGCCTCCATAGCGTCCCCTCTACAGCAACACAATCCACCAAGTACCATAACAAAGGTAAGCAACAACTATTGCTGCTGCCGCTGCTACTAGTAGTATTACGATTACCATTACAGTTGATCTTGCACGCACCCAATCGTAGTCATCGTCCTCCTCCCCTCCTCGTCATCCTTCTGCTCCTCATCGCCCTCCAACCCCATCCCCCTGCTCCCGCTCCACCCTCCCCTCCCCTTCCTCTTCCTTGTCCTTCCCCCCTCTTCTTCCTTACCTCCTCCAACCCCTCATTCCTGCTCGTCCCACTTTTCCGAATCCAACCCCGCCTCCTCCTCCTCGAGTTTCTCCTCCTCCTCGTCCTCCTGCTCCTCCTCCTCCTCATCCCTCCTCCTCCTCCTCCTCCTCCTCCCCCCCTTGTTCTTCCTTCTCCTTCTGCCACCTCGTCCTCTCCTGCTCCTCCAGTTCTTGGGCACTTTTGAAACACTTCGCGAGAACTTGCGAACGTTTCCAAGCGCGTCGGAAGCACGTTGGGCACTTGAAAACAAATATCCTGGAAGAGTATCCACAGCATTCAGGAGGCCTTTTTCGAAGCACTCTGCCAACGTTTGCAAGCACGGCGCAAGCACTTCGGGGCATTGCTGAAGCACGTTGCGAACGCTTGCAAACGCTTGCAAGCACGATGGAAGCACTTCCGAAATTGCTCAGGCACTGTGGAAAATGTTGTGAACGTTTGCGAGCGTTTGCATGCACCTTTTCCAGAAAAATGCTGGAGATGCTTTGCAAACGCGATTGCATGCACCTTTAGAGAAATGCTGGGGATGCCTTGCAGACGTCTGCAACCAATGTGGGATCACTTCCAGGCACTGTTGCAACACTTGCGAACGTTTGCACTCATACACACACACACACACACACACACACACACCACACACACCACACACACACACACACACACACATCGAGGGCACGTTTGGCAATTGTTGGGCACGTTTGTACACTTTTCCATTTAATGTGCCCAAAACACCCGAACATGCCTGCAGACATTCGCAAACGTTCGCAAACGTGTTTGCAAAGCCCCTAAAAGTGCACGAAAGTGCTTCAAAAGTGCCCAAAAGTGCCTCCGACGTGCTCGCAGACATTCTCGAAAAGGGCTGCAGACTTGCCCAAGTGCCTCCAGTGCTCGCAAGCGTTCGCTTCCACAGCCCCTCCCAAACGCTCTGGGCCGCTCTCTCAAAAAGTGCTCTCGGAAGTGACGAGAGGGCGATGCGGCGCGACCTTCCGATCCCGTCTGCTGCGACCCCATCTGGGAGGCCTAGAACAACGGCAAAGACTCCCCCTCCTCCTCCTCCCTGGGAGGTGTACGGTCAGGAGCTCTTCGACAGCTTCCTGCAATTGCGGCCCCGACAGCACGCCATGCCCTGCGAACGGATAGCGTTGGAGGCCTGGAAATGAGCACCAACACCAAGACAAGGGGGCTGCCTCCACAGGGAGGAGATGATCCTAGATTTCGGTGTTGATGGTAATATTTCGGCCACCCTGGAAGCCAGAATGTTACCACCATCACCGAGATCGGGATCTTTCTTCCCTCGGTGGAGGAACAGCGCCGATATTGGTGTTGGTGTCAACCTCTAGGCCTGCGATAGCGCGAGGCTCCGCCCCGCGGGGCGGCAGGCTCGGAAAGCGGACTGCCCGCAGGCGTCCGCGGAGCTTCGGAGGGCGCTCCAGAGCGGGAGGGAGAGCGCGGGGAGAGCGCCTCCGAGCTCCTGGCAGGCGTCCGCACGGCGCCTCCAAGGTGCCGCCAGGAGTGCATGTGGGCTCTGCTCCAATAATCTAGAGGGGCCCTGGGACCACAAGTAGGTACACACAAATAAGAGGATTCCCCCTGGTTGTCCAGATCTTTTGGATTTCCGTCTTCCCCCCCACTTCCCATATTTTCCCATACTTTCCTGGGGATCGACGATGAAGTGTGTCTGTGTGTTGTTTCCCTCCTGATACTTGGCGGGCGAAGAACGGTGAAACATTAAACGTTTCCATCACCGGGGGCGGTGCCCCAGGGCGGCTGGAAAGTTGATACTTTAACGTGCCACCGTAAGGGTGTAAACTTCCCAGCCGCCCTGGGACAAGCGCCCCCGACAGCGGAAAAAATTATGCTATACCTTTCTTCGCCCTTTGAAACAGGCCTGTTCAAAAGTCACCCAATTGTCCCCAACGTGTTTGCTAACATTCGCAAGCGTTCGCGAAGAGCCTCCCAAAGTACCTGCGAGACCAGGCGGAGCGCAGATAGCCCTGCGAAGCCTTGCTCACGCTCGGCTGGCCCTGCCATGTCCTGCGTTCCTCTTAAAAAAAACGGTAGCGGCCGCGCAATCGCGAGCTCCCACGTTTAACATGAACACTCCACATAATTAGACGGTTCGCCAGCGAGTCCCCGAGCAAGAAGACCCACGCATACCCAGGTATTCACACTCGGACATCTCGCACGACTCCCTCACCTTCAGACGCATGTCTGGTCGAACGCATACATACTCAAACGTTGATGCCATTTGCTGCAGCTTGCTGCCATGCCCCACGTCATGTGTTACCATTTGCTGTCATTTGCTGCGCCCGGGACGAACGACCTCTTGAAAAAAAAGCTCCCACGAGTTACCATCTGGGGAGGAGGAAGGACAAGGGGCGAGGGCGTGGAGGCAGAAGAGGGGCGAGGGTGTGGAGGAGAGAAGGAGGAGGAGGAAGAGGAGGAGGAGGAGGAGGAAGAGGAGGGGGGAGGAGAGGGAGGAGGGAGGAGGAGGAGAGAGGAGGAGGAGGAGGAGAGGAGAGAGGAGGAGGAGGAGGAGGAGGAGGAGGAGGAGGAGCAGGGGAGGGTGCCGGAGCCGCTGCGGGCGGGGGCCCTCGAGGAGGGCCGGCGGGCTGGCGACGGCACCCGGCGCCCGGCGACGGGCGTGGCCGGGGCCCGGGACCCAATTTGCTCAGGCGGCGCCACAGAGGGCAAGAGCAGGATGTGGGGGTCAGCCGGCGGTCCTGTCCTCCCCAGTGGTCCGAGGCTCCGAGAAGAGTGGGGCGGACGGTTTCTGCCCACTCTTGGCCTCCAAAATTATATTTTGGAGGGGGGCTCAACAACGTCTCGAAAGGCACGTCCTCACCCACGCACTCAAAGCCGAGCGAGAGGCCCAAAAATGTCTCGATCGGGACGGCCTCACCCACACACTCAAAGCCGAAAGGGATGAGGAGGAGGAGGAGGAGGAGGAGGAGGAGGAGGAGGAGAAGGAGGAGG